TAATAGCATGCAAACCTTATCTATAGCAAGGCATGTAATGGTATGGGTTGCATGTGTATCAGGGTCATAACTTAACATGCAAACAATTTCCATTGCTACCTGTACATTTAATTGCATTGTAGGTTTGTGCATCATGGACATATCACACAGCTACAGGTACGTGGGTTTATTTTGCATGTTGTGCTTTGTGGCCATATCAGGCAGGTATTTTCCATTGCTATTTGTATACCCGTGGAACCTTTGCAACCATTGCCCCAGTAACCTAGTGGCCTGGTCTTGTTTCCATTGCTTGGTTTACTGATGAGGTCTCCTACATCAAGAGCTAAACTAGACATTGTTTATTCTGAAGGAAATCTAGTACTTCTCTTAATTTTGTCCTGTCCCCCAGCACTGCAGAGGCAGATGGGGTCCCGCATTCTTGATTTAGGAATAGAGAAACACCACAGACTGTGTATATCAGCCATAGAGGATTAACACATGGGCCAGGTAGGCCTGGGCCCACCCAGGGGCCTCTGCCTCGGTGCAGATTAAACTGGCGGCTGGGCCAGGTGTGCCAGGTGTGCCTGATGCGGCAGGCCATGGCTTCTGAGTGCCATTTGCCAGGCACCTCTGCACCCGGACTGAGCCGTGGTGGGGCAAGGGGCTGCCCCCAGAGCTCGGTCCACGCCACACATGCCCGGTGAGCAGTAGGTCTGCACCCCTGATGCCAGCTCCAGCGCAGACTTGTGGGCAGGGGTGGCTGCAGCTTCTGCCCCAAGCCTTGGGGGGCAGTATGTCCTGCTCCGGCTGCTGCTCCCACTGCACCGGCTGGGGATGGAGCCTGCGGCTGTGGGGCAGAGAACAGGTTGGGGGGTCCCGGGCTGTGGGGGAGGGGGTTCTAGTTTAGCAGCTGAGCTTTCAGGCAGAGACCTGAGGGATCACTCCCCTTAGCTCTAGAGTGGATCAGGAGCCCCTCAGGGTGCACCCCTTCAGGGGAAGCTGACTATGGCATGTCCCTGCTGGAGCTGGGGTCCTGGGTGGCTTCTCCCCAGAGACCTCATACTGACTTGGGATGTTGAGGGGGAACGGAGCACTGAGGCCCCCTGGGAAGGGGTCAGCTTCCAAGGCTGTCCTTGGCAGGTTCCTTCCTCTTTACACCATCCTTTCTCCTTACACCTCTTCTCAGCTCAGGCTCCCAACCCCAACAGGGTAGATCCTCAGCAGCCAATGGGCCAGGGACCAGTGACAGCAGTTGGTCCCCAGGCAGTCCTTGTCTCAGATGCACACAATCAAGGGCAGGTTCTTCCTTGGGATAAACTCCCTCAGCCTTGCACCCCTGGGGTATAGGCAGGAGCAAGGGAGACCCATTCCAGCCTGGCTAGCGCTTGGGGTTTATGAAATGTCTCCTCAGGCTGCAGCAGGGAAAATCTAGGTTAGAGACAAGGAGGAACTTTCTGTCTGTGAGGGTGGTCAAGCACTGGACCAGGCTTCCTGGGGATGCTCTAAAATCTCCATCCTTGGAAAGGGCAGGTTGAACAGGCATGGGCCTGGGATGGTTCAGTGAATGGTGATCCTGCCTTGAGGGGGCTGGACCAGATGACCTCAGGAGGTCCCTTCCCACCTTCTTTTTCTCTGAGCCTGCTGGATTAGAAGGGTGTGCTGGAGAGGGGAAGGGCAGAGAAGGTGTCCTGCTGTGGTAGTGTGGCTGGGCTGTCTCTGCCTGCCCTGGAGAGGTTTCCAGAGGGGCAGATGAGAAGGGACTTGGCATGTGTCTAACTGGGAGCACTCCACTGGCTTTCAGCTCTGCCCCTGGAGTTCAGCAGAGGCAGGTGGGAATGGCCTCCCCCCCCCCCCCATCCCCCTCACAGAGAATAACCCTTGAACTGAGTCATGGTGGCTGCCCTTAGCCAGAGCCAGAGCATGCAAATCCCCCACCAGGCTCACCCAACCTTCCCTCACACCCACCAGAAAAGCCAGATCTGCCGCAACAGCCATCAAAAGCCAGATTTAAATAAGAAGTCAAGAGGCCCATTGATGTGCGAGGTGGGAGTCTGCTGCCCTGGCATCCAGCGCAATGCTGGGCCTCAGAGGAGATGTGCCATGAGAGATCGCCATGCGTGTCCCTGCCCCCTAGTATATGGGCAGCAGGCGCACACAGCAAATTCTCACAGCCTCATAATGCAGGCAGTGCTCTCGCATCCTCCTGAATGTACCTACACACGTGGGTTCTTATAGAGGGCAAGAGAGGCACATGGGCACCCACAGGCATGCCCCAAACACCTGCGGGAATCACACATGCCCAGGCATGGGAGAGAACCTTTCTCCAGAAGCACAGACAGAAAAACAGGTTTAAGACTTTATTAGGGTATGTTAAAAACCACGGTCATGTACGTGGCCTGTATGCACAGACAGATCCAGACTGTCCATGGTATACACAACCATCTTCCAAGAGCACAACCACTTATCCAGCCTTATCCCCCGTATACACACAGACATACACACGCACACGCTGGTGGAGAACCCTTCTTCAAGCACACACATACACAGAGAAGACACACACACATGGGGTGGAAGACACACATGCACACGTATTACTCATACACTCACAGAAGGTTGGATACACATTCGTATACAGACAGATGGGTTAGATACACAAGTATATACACAGTTTGCACACACATATGCAGAAGACTGGATGTTTACTCATATATGGGAGTAGGTATGCAGAAGATCATTAATATACATGCAGAGGGTTGAATACATGTGGCACAGAGGGTTGGATGCAAATGGCACACAGGAGATTATGCAACCAAAGGGTTGAATGCACACACACATGCAGGCCCCCCATCAGCCCATACCTAGAGCTACAGAGACCCCCATGCACACACATTTGGGCCCACGCACCCAAGTTGATGGATGCAAAGCAATGAGATTGTGTGCACGACTAAGGCACACTCAGTGCTGCCAGGGCAGCAGTCTGGGTGCTCAAGGCTGCAAAGAGTAAAAGGAGGAGATGAGGGGGAATCCTGCAGGCCGGGAAGAGGGGAAGGGGGGTCACGGGGCGAAGGGAGAGGACTAATGATGAAAAAGTCTCCTCCATCCCTGCTCCTTAATTAAATGCATGGAAAGAACCAAGGGAAGCACATCTGGTTTCAATCTGAAGGCCTTTGATGGCATCAAATGTTCTTTTCCCAGATCAGGGGGCTGGAAATTCTGGTCTGTCTATGGCAGCTTGGAGCCCAGACTCCTGCCATTGAAACACATGGGCCCTGCTCTCTCCTGTTGAGACCCTCACTTAAGACTCATGCAACCCCGTGGGCTTCTCTGACTGACCACTCTGCGAGAGGAAAGTAGGGCTTCTTTGCTTACTTTTGCCCTTTCTTTTTAAAAAAAAACTTTTAAAGAACTCCCTAATATTAAGTACTTCATATTTTACCTGATCTGATGGCAGTAATTCATCCTTTACAAGACCATTCAAACTGGTACAGAATGAATCTCGTGTGATCAGTCAAAATTCACTGGTATTTAGATTCCCCAAATGTGTGCACGGCTCTTTTCTTTCTCTCTGTCTCGTTCTGTCTCTCTTTTCAACAAGCCTCTTGCAAAACCCTAGTTCCTGATGAACTGAATCAGACTTTTCCTATCACCCATGTCCCAAATCCCCCTGTATTTCCAAAAGAGATGATGGGTATCTCTCTCTCTCTCTTTTTTTTTTCTTTTGCTTACACACACAGTATGGAGGGCTGCAGGGGCTGAGTTCAAGGCAAAGCTTGCTGCCTCTAATTCTTCAAAAGTTTCTGACTCTGGCTGATTCCAGATCACCCAACCAAGCTGACATACCAATTTCCCAATCCTTTTCTTCCCATCTTCCTGTGCTTCAGACTCCAAAAACAGTCCATAAGCTGCAGAGAGAGGGTTTCTATGCCCCCCGCCCCATACCTCTAGGTCTCCCCAACAGCTCTCCACCGGGTGCTTCCATCAGCTCCCATTTGCTGGGTCTTTTCTTTAATAACAACACACTGTCTGGCACAAATAGATTTTAAAAAACAATCTAACCCCTTGTTTGGGTTCGTTTTTCTCTTTCTCTTTAATCGCCTGAAGCCAAACTGTTGGAATAGCAGGAAATGTTAAAAAAAAAATAGGAGAAAACTTGATTGGACTGGACGGGCAGTATTTCCAAAAAGTTTCCCGTGCAGCTGATATCAAAACATGCAAATGAGATTCTCCAACAGGCTCTTAAACAAACCAGGGGGAGTTCAATGTGAAGCCACATAAGCAGCCTGGTTGAAGTGAGGGGGGTTTCAAGGTTGACTTTTCTGCCCACGATGCAGTTGCAAAGGGGAGGCAATGAGAACTGAGTCTTTATTTCAGAAAAGCAAAGAGAGAGAGAGAGAGGGATAGCCTAAGTCAGATGGTGGCAAAGAGGGAGGAGGGCTCAGCGTGTTTTTGGTGGTGGGGGGAGGGTGGAGGAGGAAGAGAGCTTGCGAGGGGGAAGAGGGGTCTGTAAAACGTCAGGAACAGCACAAAGCCTTTGCCACGTAATTACAGGCTCCTATTAAGTCTCGATCTGCCCTCCCAGGGGTGTCCAATTTTCATGTAGACCCTACAAAGGCTCCCCTGCATGCCAGCCTGTGCCTTTTGAAGTGCCAGAGAGCGGCTCGATCCAGCGGAGAAGGGGGGTGGGGGTGGAAAGCAGCTGAGAGGGAGGGAAGGGGAAAGAGAGAGGAAGAGTGGGGGGGGGGGG